AATCAGTGTGATATTGGATGTGTTGCTGACAGCTGTCCTGCCCTTAAAAAACACACACCTGTTTTGGGTTTACTGGTTTCAAGAAGCACTGTCTGATGTGAACCATGCCTCGCAGAAAAGAGCTCTAAGAAGACCTACGATCAAGAATTGTTGACTTGCACGAAGCTGGAAAGGGTTACAAAAGTATCTCCAAAAGCCTTGATGTTCATGTGTCCACGGTAAGACAGACGGTCTACAAATGGAGAAAGTTTAGCACTGTTGCTACTCTCCCTAGGCGTGGTCGTCCTGTAAAAATGACTGCAAGAGCACAGCGCAGAATGCTGCATGAGGTAAAGAAGAATCCCAGAGTGTCAGCTAAAGACCTACAGAAATCTCTGGCACATGCTAACATTTTTGTTGACACATCTACAATAAGGAAAACATTAAACAAGAATGGAGTACATGGGAGGACACCACGGAGGAAGCCATTGCTGTCCAAAAAGAATATTGCAGCACGTTTGAAGTTTGCAAAAGAGCACCTGGATGTTCCACAGCACTACTGGCAAAATATACTGTGGACAGATGAAACCAAGATTGAGTTGTTTGGGAAGAACACACAACACTATGTGTGGAGAAAAAAAGGCACAGCACACCAACATCAAAACCTCATCCCCACTGTAAAACATGGCGGAGGGAGCATCATGGTTTGGGGCTGCTTTGCTGCCTCAGGGCCTGGACGGATTGTTGTCATTGATGGGAAAATGAATTCCAGAGTTTATCAAGACATTTTGCAGGAAAACGTACAACCATCTGTCCGCCAACTGAAGCTCCGCAGAGGATGGGTGATGCAACAGGACAATGACCCAAAGCATACAAGTAATTCAACAAAACAATGGCTGCAACAGCACAGAATACGCCTTCTGGAGTGGCCCAGTCAGAGTCCTGACCTCAACCCGATTGAAATGCTGTGGCATGACCTTAAGAGAGCGATTCACACCAGACATCCCAAGAATATTGCTACACTGAAACAGTTTTGTGAAGAGGAGTGGTCCACAATTACTCCAGATCATTGTGCAGGTCTGATCTGCAACTACAGGAAACGTTTGGTTGAGGTTATTGCTGCCAAAAGGAGGGTCAATCAGTTATTAAGTCCAAAGGTTCACATACTTTTTCCTCCCTGCACTGTGAATGTTTACATGTTATGTGCAATTAAACCATGGCAACATCTAATGTTTGTGTAGTATTATGTTCAGCAGACTGTGTTCTTCTATTGTTGTGATTTAGATGACGTTCAGAGCACATTTTATGCCCAATTCATGCAAAACTCCACGTAATCCCAAGGGGTTCACATACTTTTTCTTGCAACTGTAGTTGTCCTGTGGACAGATTCTCCCACCTGAGCTGTGGATCTCTGCAGCTCCTCCAGAGTTACCATGGACCTCTTGGCTGCTTCTCTGATTAATGCTATCCTTGCCCAGCCTGACAGTTTAGGTGAATGGCCATGTCTTGGTAGGTTTGCAGTTGTGCCATACTCCTTCCATTTTTGGAAGATGGATTGAACAGTGCTCCGTGAGATGTTCAAAGCTTGGGATATTTTTTTAGAACCTAACCCTGCTCTAAACGTCTCCACAACCTTATCCCTTACCTATCTTGTGTGTTCCTTCATGATGCTGTTTGTGCACTAACATTCTCTAACAAACCTCTGAGGACTTCACAGAACAATTGTATTCACACTGAGATCAAATTACACACACATGGTCTCTATTTACTAATTAGGTGTCTTCTGAAGGCAATTGGATCCACTAGATTTTAGTTAGGGGTATCAGAGTAAAAGGGGGCTGAATACAAATGCAAAAAAAAATTACAAATCATTTATCATTTTCCTTCCACTTTACAACTGTGTGCCACTTTGCGTTGGTCTACCACATAAAATCCCAATAAAATACATTTACGTTTTTGGTTGTAACATGACAAAATGTGGAAAATTTCAAGGGGTATGAATACTTTTTCAAGGCACTGTATACATTCTTTATTGCAATCATACATTACAAGATTATTATAGGGAAATATCATACCAAGATCTTACTAGATATTGATAGAGTTATTCTAATGTCTGTTCACGGCTTGAACAACAAAGTTATATGTTTCCATACACAAGAGTCATTTAACTGTATGTAGGGAGATGTCAAATTCTTGGGATTCTCAACAGAGCTCAGTACAGTGATACCACACATGCAGAAATATATACACCTTTTACAACTAAATCCTACTGAAGTGCCCTTCAAAATATACAACTATCACACACAGGGTGGATTTGATTTAAATCAAACTGATTTAAATCACAATTTAAATCACTAGTCAGTAAGGCTTGATTTAAATCCTAGTTTTCTACATAAAGACTAATTCTTGCTGGTATAACTTTAATATGCAAGTAGATGAAGATTTTTAGAATAACAACTTTTCATATTAGTTTTTTTATCCCCAGTTTAATAGGTTAATCATTCATATTTGGACAATTTTTCTGTTGTACTTAGGAAGGAGAAAAATAATCATTACCTTAATAACAATTTAAATAGATTTATTCATCTGAAACAATAACATTACAGCATATGTTATTTGCTTAAACATCCATGTTTGTTAACTAATTTGGCTAAACAAAATATATATATTTTAAGAAACTTAGACTGTCAGCCCCTTCCTCCTCACACTTAGTTTCACTTTCTTCTTGGGCAGATCTATTCCACTCCAACCAATCAGAAAAAATATTGTTTCTATTCTATTCACTGAACTTCTTGAAACTTAGCACTGAAGGGGTTGATTCTGTATTCATAGGTTTGTGGAAGTTAGGATTAACGTCTTTTTCTTAACTCTGTTCATGTTATAACATTTTTGCTGTGAAGAAGAGGCATGTGATCTCTGCTGAGTCAAATTCAGTTTTGAGAACTGCAAAGTACACCAAGCATCTGTGATAATATCTTGTAGGCAGAGAAACTGCCCAATAATCTTACAAAAACCTCTGGAAGAGCATGACATTGTGAATGGATTAATGGAATTTATTTACCAAAATAATTAAACATATACAGCCTTATTCTACATAATTAAAAAACTAATCTTTATTTCATGATGGAATAACCTTTGGATGGCATTATATTTTCTTCAAAAAGCATTTTATTAAAAAAAAAATCAGATTTAAATTAAAAAAAATCCGATTTAAATAAAAAAAATCCGATTTTTTTGATTTTTTTTTTTAAAAATCATTGATTTTTATCCACCCTGATCACACAATAAAAGGAGACAAAAAGGTTTTCAATCATGGGCAAACTACACTATGGTAAAATGCAAGGCGCAAGCTCCAACAAACCCTCATGTTAACATTTAGGAAGAATACCAGGATTGAACTGAAGGGTTCTGTCATCTCTCGAGGTGCTCTGCAGTACTGTAAGATGACCTGAGATAATTGCAGAGAAGAGTCTCTTTATTTGTCAGTCAAACAAGCTCTGTCTAATGGCCTATTTGTTGGAGCACAATAGCAACAGTAGCCAGCAGCTTTTAATACAGCATCACCAGCGAATACACACAATGCCAAACAATTTAACCTGTTTGAGGACTGTGCAAAGTAAGTCTACTGTGCAGCACAGGACAAATGTAACATTTTGTCAATATCATGTTTGTGTTCATTACAGTTAAACTAACAAAGTAAAATGCAGGACAATGGAACAACACTGAGCCGCTCTCACCATAAAAAACTTGAGTTGAGGATATTTATAGTTTATTTTTAAAGACGATATCAACAAGTTGCAGTTCACAAATAAGCCTTGTGTGAGTACACGGATTCTTTTGGGAGTATCGTTATTACAATGCAATGGTCCCAAGGCGCAGAGCATTCTCTTAGTGAAAGCCTTACTTCTTTTTGCAGGCTGAAATTGGCTGTGTAAAAAATTAAAGAGTCTGCTAAGAAAAGGGCTTGAGGCACAGACCAGGTCCCTGCTTTAGGGGTCAGAAGGGATTTTTCCTTCTCCTTTACACAAGGGTTTAAAGTGATTTTAAAGATTTTAATTATTTTTTAAAATAATAAACATTTTATATTTACCTGCTCTGTGCAATGGTTTTAACACAGAATAGCCCCAATCCTCCTCTTCTCCTCCCCCATAGCAAGTCGCTTGCTATGGGGGCACTCGTGCGTGCTCACTCCAGAGCCAGCTTTATCTGTGATTAACATACCAAGCACAGCCCCCTCCCTCTTCACTGGTTGTGATTGAAAGCAGCGCCCATCTCCCACTGCTGTCTCTGAGCCAATGAGGAGGGGGAGAGCAGAGAGAGCCTCTGCTCTCAGGCAAGTATAAGGGGTGCTTGAGGAAGGTTTTTCACATTAATGCATAGAATGCATTAAAGTAGTTGTAAACCTCAAACATGAAATATGAACAAAGCATATCTCTCTATAGTTTGTATTTGTCTCAATTAAGAGCACTAAGTATCATTGCCGTCTACTGCCTCGTTCCTCTGCTAACAGCATCAATCACTTCTGACAAGTTTTCCTTACACCAAGAGAAAAATGGTGACAGGGGAGGGATCTCCAGCAGATTGACAGGCTCAGTCCAGTCCCTGTGAGCTGTGATTGGGGGGGGGGGGTGTCTCTTACCTCCAATCAGCTCTCAGAGCTCTCCTCACTGAGTGTAACTTCAGTTCCTGCTTTTCAGAGCGGAGTAGATTCTGCACTGTAAATGGATGTAGGGGACAGGCAGAGGCAGATAAACAGGTACAACTTATGTAGGAGTATTTGTTTCATCTCCGTGTATCACCTGAGGCCAGTCACTTCAGTGGGTATATGTAAGGGTTTACAGCTACAAAAACCAAAAAAAAATAAACAAACATTCTGCCTTTAGAACAACATTAACAGCCTCCTGCCCGCTATATAGTAAATGACGGGCTCAAGGCAGTTCTCTCGTTCTGGGAGGATGTCATATGTCGTCCTCCCATTCTAACCGCGCATGCGTGGCTCCGGGAGCGCGCAGCAATCAGGGGTGCGCTGTGTCAACGGAAAGAGGCAATCAGGGGTGCGCTGTGTCAACGGAAAGAGGCAAAGCTGTTGGCTCGGTCATGTGATCAGCTGTGTCCAATCACAGCTGATCGCATGTAAATAGTGAAATGCCGGTTATCGGCATTGCTTTCCTCACGAGCTGTCACGCTGGCAGCTCGAGAGGAGAGGAGAGCCGGTAATCGGCATCCCTCAGAGGGGACATGTACACTGATCATCAGGGCACTGATGATCAGTGTGCCCTGATGATCTGTGTAGCCCCAGCAGTGCCACCTGTCAGTGTCCATCAGTACCAGCTGTCAGTGATCATCCATACCACCTGCCAGTGCCCATCAGTGCCACATCAATGCCTCATTTCAGTGCCTACCAGTGCACATCAATGCCACATATCAGTGCCCATCTGAGCTGCCTTTCAGTATCACCCATCAGTGCCAGTCAGTGCCGCCTATCAGAGTGCATCAGTGCCGTCTATCAGTGCCCGTCAGTGCTCCCTATCAGTGCCGCCTAACAATGCCAGTCAGTGCTGCCTATCAGTGCCCATCAGTGATGCCTGTCAATGACCATAAGTGCCACCTACCAGTGCCTCCTCATTAGTGCCACCTATCAGTGTAGCCTATCAGTGCCCATCACTGCAGCCTCATTAGCGCACATCAGTGAAGCAGAAAAATCACTTATTTACAAAATTTTATAACAAAAACTAAGAAAAAAAACGTGTTTTTTTTTTAAATTTTCAGTGGTATTTGGTTTAAGAAAAAAATAAAAAACCCAGAGGTGATTAAATACCACCAAAATAAAGCTCTGTCACAAAAAAAATGATAAAAATTTCATATGGTTACAGTGTTGCATGACCGCGCAACTGTCATTCAAAGTGCAACAGCACTGAAAGCTGGAAATTGGCCTGGGCAGGAAGGGGGTATAAGTGCCCTGTAGGCTAGTGGTTAAAGCGGAGCACCAAACCACTAAACACACAGATGAAATACATAGCGTGCCATTTCACCTGATTTGTATTTCTGTCTATCCATTCATGAGATTTACATAACAATCACACAGCACAGTCCTGTCTGGCAGAGCAGGAGACCCACATTTTTCCTGCTACAGTTAAATAACAGTTAGAGGTGCCTCCCTCAGCTTGTGACTGGACAGTGGAAGACAGTGGAAGCAGAAAAAACTGGCTTGCCTATATCAAAGAGGGGGTTTATACCAATTAGGACTGCCCATAAGCTGTGCTATGTTCTTTTTTCTGCTTAGTGTCCTACGCCTGTAGGTGGCGCTTTAACCCTATGGTCAAGAATAGAATAGCTGTGTCCGTCAATGAATGTAAAAGAAAATAGCACACTAAGCCAATCTCTCCTTCACTATGGGGTTTATTTACTAAAGCTGGAGAGTGAAAAATCAGATTCACTTCTGCATAGAGACCAATCAGCTTCCAGGTTTTATTGCCAAAGCTTAATTGAAAAAATTGAAATTAGAAGCAGATTGGTTTCTATGCAGAAGTAAGCCTGATTCCAGATTTAGTAAATAAACCCCTATTTCCTTCTATCATAATGCTCCTTGCACTGCAAAACACCTGATTGGCTGCTTGTATTGCTTTTCTCTTGTCCAGTCTGAGTGATACAGGGGACTGCAAGAAGCGATCTGCATCAGGCTAGTTGCTCAGCACGGGACCCAGAAGCAAAGGGAGATCACTGGAGTAGCGGTGTCAACTACAGTGATTTCCAGCTTCCGGGGACATTAGCCAGGTATGGTATATACTGTTATACAAACTGGACCACTGTAACTATGGAAAAATATATCATGCCTGGAATTCATCTTTAATCACTCATTTATTAAACTATTTGGGGATGTTTGCCATTTTTAAGTGGTTGCAAAAAACTTAGACATGAAATATGAACAAATCATATCCCTCTATATTGTGTGGTTGTCTCAATCCAGAGCACTAAGTGTCTCTTCTGTCTGCAAAAAGCATGAGCAAATGAATGCTGAAACTCCTGCGCTGGACAATGAGCTCATCAATGTCAGTAACCCCACATGGAGTACTTTTTGTGAATGCAAGCCTTGCTGCCCTCAACGGACCAGGAAAATCCAAAGAAGCTGTGCGCAAAGAAACAAACTGAGGGCGCACGGGCCTAGCTTCTAAAAATGAGACTGGTTTTTAGCTCTGAGGAAGAGGTTCTGCCTCGAAACGTGCCACCATCTAGGGAGATTAGACCATGCTGTCTTTTTTGTGATGTGCCTTTGATTTTATTCTTTAGTGAGTATACTACTTTTTATTCAATAAATCTCATTTTTAGAAGGTAATGCACTAGGCCCATGTGCCCTCTGTTGATCTCTTCTGTCTGCAGCCTTCTTGCTCTGCTATCTGCACAAGTCACTTCTGGCAAGTTTTCCTGACACCAAGAGAAAAAAAGATGACTGGGGAGGGAGTTCCAGCAAACAGCCTGTGGCTGCCAGCCTGGGTGCTGTGTGGGGTTTGCCCCTTCCCTGCAATCAGCTCTTAGCACTGAGCTCTGCAGTTTGTAATTTCAGCCCCTCCACCCCCTTTTTTTTCTTACAGCTCAAACAAGCTGGAAGATAAGAATGCAAATAAACAGGTACAACTTATGTAGGAGGATTTGTTTCTTCTCTGTGTATCACCTGAGGCCAGTCACTTCACTGAGTATTGTAATGGTTTATAATATGTGCATGATTAATCTCATGAGACTAGTCTCCCAAAAATCATCTGCTGTAGGATTAGGTAGCTTTCTGAAGACGCAGAGTCGGAGAAACACGTAGAGGTGGTCAACATGCTCGTTTTATCTGGTTCACGTGGTGACGTCATATCCGGTCCCAGCCATTGCAGCGCACGCCGGCTCCAGGACATGGAGTGGCTGCGATTGTTACAGGTGGCGTATACTGTTGTCGAGTATCTGGGCATCATTAAATGTGAATGCATATTGTTTTAAATACATGGGCACTTTTATTGATTCAATAAATACTGCACTATGATAGTTTTTAACTTTTTGTGGTGCACAAGATTCATTTCTTGATGGGGAATTACAAGTCCCACTGGGCTGGAAGTGACTGGGATATCAGTGTACCAAACCATTTGGATGCTGCATCAGAGCCTGGGGATTAAGCACTTTTGACCTTCCTTTTCATTAAGGGGTCATAGAGTTGTGGTGAGTGAAATAGAGTGACACACGAGGTGAAGCACTGGTGATAAGGATGAAGAGGAGATATTTATTTATTCACCATAGAGCACTTTTTCACACTGTGGTGTAGGACTTTTTCTACAGATTTGTATTAATATGATATAGATTTGAATGTCATTATTAATTTTTGGAAATGTAAGTGTAAACTCCATACGTTTTTACAGTTGATTGATGCCATAGGATTATATAGCAACTTAGTACTGGAAGTGGCACGGTTTCTTCTTTTTTGACAATAATCACGATGGCAGCTCCAAAACAGTTCAGCCAGACACTGATAAGTTTCATTTCAGAGATAACTGCACGGTACAATATTCACTGGACTACATTCAAGTAAACAGAGATCAGCTGGCATTTAAAGAAACCTTTGAAGTAGGTCAGATTGCTCATTTAAGTCTACAACCAGCTCTCTTTTTGCATACCGGATGATATGAGGAAGTAAAAACGGGAAAATACTTTCCATACAGTTAACATAGAACACTGACCTGTATCAAGCCTTGTCTTGACATGCTGGTACTTTGGATTCTGGGGAATTCTTTTCTTTAAAATCTGAAAGAGTATCAAAAAAAGCAGTGGAAAAAGTTGAAATGTTGCATATGAAAGAACACACGATTTAAGTAAAAACAGCTGTATGCAGTTTAGGACACATGGCTCTAATATAAGGCTCTGTTGGTGCAATAAACCAGCATTTTTGTAAGGTACGATTGGCTGAGGGGCAAAAAAAAACAAAAAAAAAAAAACCAAAAAACGATTTGCATTACTTTACTGACATTACTAAAATGAGGACTAAACCCCTTATTTTTGGGATTTGTAATGCCCACTGTGTACACACAGAGGTACTTTCAGTTTAAAGAAGGCTCTATTATGTTTTGCACTGGTTTAGTGGAAGGATTTTTTTGAACCCACGCCACCATAACCTCTCGTTATACTTTCTCATTGTGTCCCAAGCCCTACTCCAGAATACTTTGTTTCCATGTGCTGCACTGATAATGGCCAGCAAGCCTGAAACAACTATATGCAGTATGGAATAAAATGTTCCTCTAACCTGCCCACTACCATCGTACATGCTAAATCTAATTCATAATTCTACCACCAGACCTCCTGTGTAACCTTAAAGTGAAGCTCCACTCTCCAGAGCAATTTTTTTTTAAAGCACCACCAGGATTGTAATACTTGTACAGCAATACTTAGCTATTGGTATTAATGTATTCAGGCCTGTTAGTCTCACATCTGTAATCAATCACACAATCTTGTCAGCAGGCTGGGGCCATGGTAGATGTGGGCATCTGAAGCCCACTCCTCTTCACTTCCAGGATTAGGTGCAGCTGGATACCCAGCATGCACCTCCCGATCTCTCGCCTGCGCAGTAATGACACTGCGCAGGCGCGAGATCAGAAGGTGCATGCTGGGTAGCCAGTTGCACCTCCGGATCTTGTGCCTGCGCAGTAATATCACTGCACGGCGCAGTTTGTTGATTGAAGGTTGCCATAGCAACGGTGGCATTTGCGGAGGTTCCTGCCCTTTTGTTATGGCAACCTGTCAATCAGGAGACTGGGTACTCAAATACAGTCGGAAAAATAACGCAAGATTTCATTATTAGTCGATTCGCTTGGACTGTTGGGATAGATGATGCTGATATCCCGGGAGTCCAAGGGAATCGCCTTAAGACAACATTGCCTAGGCACCGGACCGGAAGTGCAGCATACAAAAAAGATAAAAATAAGGTATTCAGACATACAAAAATAAATAATAAAAAAATATATATTTTTATTATCCATTTAGGAATACACTGTGGGTGGGCATGTAGATGAAAGCAACTTTTAAAAATGGCTGGAACACCACTTTAAAATGACAACCTGTAAAGGCTTTCACCATCGGCGTCACCTATGGATAATTTTAAATATCGTAGTTTGTCACCATTTCACTGGCAATTTTAAAGTGAGACAAGTGTAGTATTTACGGGGGGTGTTCAAGTCAAACCGGGACTTTGGAGTTTATATACAGTGGGGAAAATAGTTATTTGATCCCCTGCAGATTTTTTAAGTTTGCCCACTTACAAATAAATGAAGGGTTTATAATTTTTATCATAGGTGAAAGAGACAGAATATCAACCAAAAAGCCAGAAAAAAACACATGATACAAATACATTTAGTTGCAGTTCAGTGAGTAAAATAAGTATTTCATCCCCTACCAACCAACATTAATTCTGGCTCCCAAAGACTGGATATCTGCTCATGTGGTACACAGATTAGTCCTGTCAATTTAAGAAGGTGCTC